TTTACAAAATTTACGGAAATTTAAAATTGAAATCGTATTTTCAGGAAGCTAGTGAGATTCTCACTTAATGCGGTTAAAAAAGAAACTTCTTGAACAAAAAAAAAAAAAAAAGAAAATGAAAAAGTACGAGAAAGTGAAGAAATTACAAGGGGCGAAAAAAGTCCATGTTCTTTCAAGGTAAAGAATGTTAAAAAAAAAAGAGAGCACGCCATAGGATTTTAATATAGCTTCTTTATTCACGCTCCTTGCAACGCTTTTGAGAGTCAAGATTTTCATAATATAAGAAATCTCATTTTGTCTTCGAATGCGTGAACAATGTTTATGTTAATGGCACATCTACTTTCAAAAAAAAAAAATATATCTTTCATGCAAATTATGTGTTCATGAAGGAAAAAAAAATTTTTCTTTTCTTTCTCTTGTTCTTTAGATATTTGATAAATTTAATTCTCTTTTTCTTTACTAGTTGATGCAAATAATTTTCTTTTTTCTATATTAGTATTTTCATTAAAAATTATTTTAAATAAATAATTATTCAATATAAATATTTATATTGTGGGATATATAATAAATTTTTATAAGTTTTAAAATGATTTTTTCAGGGTAGACCACTCATGACTACACAGAAAATTAAAAGGCATTAAAATAAGCTACAACGCTTCTTATTTTAATCCAATTTTGCTTATTTTAATACCAAAATGGATTAAAATAAGCAAAATGGAATTAAAATAAGAAGCGTTGCAGATTATTTTAATGCCTTTTAATTTTCTGTGTACAAATTAAAAAAAAGTTTGGAAAAAACACTTTTTAAAAAATGTCTACTCATGGCAAATATTCCTCTACTATTTCCAGAGTAATTTTTACTATATATTTCCAAAGGCAAAAGTTGCCAGAAATTTCGGTTTTACTTTGAAAATATAGTAAAAATTACTTTAAATTCATTTTTTTCGTGCATTGAAGTAAATTCTTTATTTCGGCGAACGAGAAAACGAAAAAGATAAAAAAAATTTTTTTTTTTATAATTTGTTGCTTCGTGGTATGAATTTTCAAGCTTAAGAGAGAGAAGAAGAGCCAAAAAGGGGAGAGAGAAAAATAAAGAGAGAGGGGGGGAGGTAAAAAAAAGAAAATTAACAAAAGAAAAAAAAATTCAGAAGAGTGTCACAAATTCAGCGAGGTGTAAATGTAACCAAGTCTGGCGCCGTATTTGTCTCACGAGTGTGTGTGCAACTATTTTTCTGCATTTTCTTCCATTTCTATTTTACTTTTCCTTTCCTCCTTTACTTTTTCCACTTTTCTTTCCTCTTTTCACTGTATATATATATATATATATATGTATATATACTGCAAGTGTTTCACCTCTTGTGTAGAACTACTTATTCAATGTTTACTCGCCCCAGTATCATGCCGAGAATCATTCAAGAGAACCCGAGGACCGCTAGAAAAATTTTTCCTTCTCTGAAAATTTCTGGCATTTCTTAAATATATGTGCCCATTACTCTTTTTTTTTTTTTTTGGTTGGGGGGAAAACTATATTTTTATCACTCTGTCATTTTTTTGAATTAAAAAAAATATTTCATTTCATATATACGGTAGAAAAAAAAATTAATTTTTAGAAATTAATTTTTATCAAAAATTTATAAATATAAATTTTACTAAGTAAAAGCATGAAAAACCTGACTGGATTTAATTAAATATAATTAAAATTCGTGTACTCTCTTAAAAGGTGCGTAACACTGAGTGAATTTTCCTGTTCTCGATATATATATATATATATATATATATATATATATATATGTATAGTAGAAGGAAACATTTGTTCCTATTTTCTGAAACGTTTCTTTCTTTTCCAACTATTTTCCCTTTTTCCACCTTTTACCTAGAGTTTTTCTATTTTTTTTTTTTTTTATTTCTGTTCCCTGTTACACGTTGTCCTTTTTTCCTGACTTCCCATTTTATTTCTCTCCATCATGCACTTTCATTTACCAACATTGTAATTCCAAAAGAAACTATTAATAATCACTTTTTTTTTCTTTACAACAATTATTGAAGAGTCCAAATCAAAAAAATGGTTACAATTTTTTTTTTTTTTTATAACTAAAAATCATTGACCCGTAAATTCAAAATTCTAAAACATTTCATTTTTTTGACTTTATTTATTTTTTATATAAATAAGACTCCTTTATTTATTTTTTTCTTTTTATTAATAATAATAATAATAATAATATTATTATTGCTGCTATATTTTGTTTTCGATAAATTTTCAGTTTAAAGGCTCCGTTGGTTTTTTAAAACCGTCAGCTTTTAATCACTTCTAAATATTCATACTCTTGATTTGATTTGCGAAGCAATTAAGGTCAGCAATATAGAGATTATAAATTTGTTTGAAAACAGTTTCAATTGAAGATAGAGAGAGAGAGAGAAAGAGAGAATTTTAGTTTGTTTAGCCCGGGTATACGAGGTAAATTAATATTGAATTTTTATGAAATTGTTTAATATTTAAAAAAAAAATGGTACTACGTTTACTTTACTGTTCAAAAAAAAAAAAAAAAAAAATTTATCCCATAAATTTCTTGCTTGTTTATAGCATATTGAATCAACGGTTATATTTTTTATGAATCGAAAAGTAAAATTGTCAAATACGATCATAAAAAAAAATATATATATATATTCCATATTAATGTAAGTAAAGTGACAGGATTATTTCCGCAGCTTTTTCACAAACCCCTGAAAGTTTAATGAAGCATCGCGATTTCATGTGTGGTATTCTACTTATGTGAGTGGACTCTCTCTCTCTCTCTCTCTCTCTGTCTCTCTCTTTCTTGTGACGTGCGATTCCTATCCATTTCGATGGTAGGCAGGTTTATTTTTGTTCCATATACGATTCATTCGATTGAACATGACTTGTGGTTACAGCTCGGCAATATATTTTCGATATTACTGGGACGACATACCGGCACCGCAATCCCGAGAGTCTCTTCCTATATATATATATATATACCGATTCAGCTTTCTCTCTCTTTCTCTCTTTCAAGTATAGAAAAATACATATGAACCTTTTGCGAATAATAGTTGCTTGTCTTGGATTTGGTTTTGCCTATATAGTTAAAAAAAAAAAAAAAAAAAAAACGAGAAAAAGAGACGAGGAAAATATAATTTTGTACGTGTTCTTGTGTCTCCCTCTCTCTCTCTCTCTCTCTCAAGTTCAATACGATAAAATACTTGGGGTGGAGAAACAGCGATTCCTATATTTCAAACTCCATGGGCATTCAATCATAAATATATCTCCGAATGGTTAGCGTAAAATTTATATATGTACCACTTGATTTTCTTGAATTCACCCTCTCTCTCTCTCTACTAACTCTTACAAAACTTTGAATTTAATGCAGAAATTGCATTTTTGTTATTATTTAATTTTTTCGATGACAATTTTTTCAGTATCAATTTTTTGATAACAAAAAAAAACTAAAATAGTTTATTTTTCTCCGACTAAACAGTGTTTTTTCTAAAAAGATTTTTTCTGAAAAAATTTTATAATATATCAATTTAAAAAAAGAAAAAACTAAATTAGTTCATTTTTGTCCTTTTTCTCTACTTACTCTCAAAAAATGAATTAGTTAAAATTTTAACTAATTTAAATTAGTTACTTTTTGCTTTTAAATTAGTTAAATTTTACTAATTTAATATCTGAATTAGTAAAAATTTTAACTAATTTAAATTAGTTAAATTTTACTAATTTGATATCTGAATTAGTAAAATTTTTAACTAATTTAAATTAGTTACTTTTTGCTTTTAAATTAGTTAAATTTTACTAATTTGATATCTGAATTAGTAAAATTTTTAACTAATTTAAATTAGTTACTTTTTGCTTTTAAATTAGTAAAATTTTACTAATTTAATATCTGAATTAGTAAAAATTTTAACTAATTTAAATTAGTTACTTTTTGCTTTTAAATTAGTAAAATTTTACTAATTTAATATCTGAATTAGTAAAAATTTTAACTAATTTAAATTAGTTACTTTTTGCTTTTAAATTAGTTAAATTTTACTAATTCGATATCTGAATTACTAAAAATTTTAACTAATTTAAATTAGTTACTTTTTACTTTTAAATTAGTTAAATTTTACTAATTTGATTGTAAAAATTTTTTTTTACTATTAGTTAAATTTTACTAATACAAAAAGTGAGTCACTATTTCAAAATAGTTAAAAAAAAAAATTTACTAATTAAAATTGAGAGAATAGAAAAATAAATTTAGGTAAAAAGAAATTATTCTTGCGTCTGACAAGATTAAATAATAATAATAATAATAATAGTAAATTATTTTTCAAAAATAGATTCAAAAACTATTCATGAAACAATTTCACAATACAGTGACTTCATTGACAGATTGTTTTATCCACAGTGCCATGGCGATAGTGCATTTACTAATTACACAATTCTGAATTGTCCTAATGAGGTATTCCATCGACCACAATTGTTATCCATACACAACAACTACGTCAAACCTCTCTGATTTATGGACGCTTTTATTATTAATTTAGATATTAAATAACCAAATGAATCTAAGAACTATATTTAATACATTTTATCAAAAAAAAAAAAAGAATTTTTTTTAATTTTTAATTTAGAAAAATATATTTCCTTTCATTATTCAAAATCTACAATAGTAATTAACATATCATGTAGTGTCACTATTGTGTCTAATGAACAAATCCATTGACACTAATACCAATATAGTAAGCGAAGAATGGGAAGTGGGGTGTAACTAACGGAATACCTGTATTATCCGTTAATGGATAGCCATGTCGTGGTTAACCTCGATTCATTCAATTATTCCTGAGATTGCTTGTATTCGCATTGTAAAATAAATATTTACAATTGCAATTATTTTTTTCCCAATTATATAATTTTTTTTTTCAAATAAAAATCTTTTTTTTTAACTATTTATCTATTTTCTAATTTTATTTGTTCGTATTTTCTAATAATAATTATTTTTTTTCAGAACAAGGGCAAAATACAAGTAAAAAGAAGACGACGTTCTCGAGACTTTTGCGAGGATTGAAAACACATAAAAAAGAAAAACAGGGTCAAACACAAAGTTCGCCGAAACATAATCGATCCAGAATGGGAGTCCCTCAAAGGGTAAGTAATGTATATAATTGTAAACCTTTACTATTTATTATTTTATTTATTATTTATTATTTAGCAATTATTAGAAAAATTTATAAATAGAATAAAATTATTACCAAATTGAAAATTAATATTTAGTTCATAAAAAGGAAAATTATTTACTCAGAAAAAAATTGTTTGAAACAATCGTTGAATTAACCAAATAAATTTATTGCTAATAACCAAATTTTTGTTCGAAATAACCAAATGTTAATTTGAATTTTTTTTCTTTGTTCGAATTTTATTAAATTCTTTGTAATTTTGTATCTAGTAGAAAAAGTACACTGAGAAAAAAGGTTTGAGCTGACAACCAAATATTTCATTTAATATATGTGTAACTAAAATTTTTTGGTTGACACAACTAAACTTTAGTTGACATCAACCAAAGTTTGGTTGAGACTACCAAATTCTTTTTCATTTTCTTATTTAGTCGTCTGAAACAAACTTTGGTTGTTGTCAACTAAAGTTTAGTTGTGTCAACCAAAAAATTTTAGTTGCACATATATTGAATGAAATATTTGGTTGTCAGCTCAAACCTTTTTTCTCAGTGTAAGTATTAGTCAGACGAAACGTTTTGAATTCTTGTAATATAGTACCACAATATTCGATTAAATTTGAAATTACAATTAACTGCCATAATTATTATTTAAAATTACCAAATTTTTTTTTACTATACTTTTAAAATTATTACAATTATTCTTACTATGTTTTGAAAAAAAAATTACTCCTCCCGAATAAAAAATAAAAAAAAAAAAAAATGTCTCAACTCCACGTGTGTGTCATTACATACTTCGTAAAAATAAATTACTATAAAAAATAATAAAAAAAAAAAATATATACACACAAGAGTTTTTTAGTGTCACGTAAATTTGCATAGCGCGAACGTTGCAAAGAAATTAAAAGCTCTCAACATTTTGTGTTTATGGGCGCGAAGCGTGTCAATGGCCTCGAGCTCTTTGACATTAGCAGTGCAACCATAAAGCGTCGAATTAGTCACGCTGCGTTATAATAGCAAAGTTCAACATTTCATCCAACGAGTATAGAGTGTCACGTGTGCTCACTATATGCATTTGTGTTGGCAATATAAACGAACAGAATAAGCATATGATACATGCTATATATTTTGACATAAAGTAAATGCACGATTTACAAAAATTTTTAATATTACTTTTTTTTTTTTATTTTCTCGTATTTTTATTTAGTTACAATGTCATGTATAATTCCTTCCAAATTGTCGATAGAAATTTATATACCATCATATATGTATATTCGAAAAAAATTATTTGATCGATCAGCAACCCCAGTTTTAACTAAATTTGAATTTAATTTTTTTATCCGTCATTTTTTTAATTTAAAAATTAGTGGACAAAAATTGTATCAAGAGAACTTACAAAAAACCCATTTACTTGTTCATATTTTATTCAATATTTTTCTAAATGCAAGAAAATTTTAAGTAAATAAGAAAATTAGTAAATGATTTGCTTGAATCAATGATACTTTTTTTCCGTGTAAGAATTTTTCAGTCAAACAAAATGTTTTAAAATTTTTGTAACACATTTTTACCAAAATAAAAAAAAATGGTTTTAAGAAGAAAAAATTTAAAATCTAATTTTTCGCCTTATAAAGTATCGATTTATGTGTCCGAATGTAATTCGAAAAATCTTTTCAAAGCGTTTATTTAATTTTATTTCTATATCTTATTTCAAGAGAGATTTTCTTTTCGCATACGGCAGGAGAAAATAATTCAATAACATTTAAAGAATTTTCTCTCCAAAAAGGTAAAAAAAGTTCTCTCTCTCTCTCTCTCCTTAGAAAATGCAGATATATCGTATTTTGCGTATCGCAAACCAATTTCGTATACTTTACGAGCGCCCACACGTACGTATTTTACATGCTCGGTAGAAGGCGTACGTGCTTCCAGGCAAAATAGCGCGGGGAAATTGTAACTCACGCGAGATAGGTACAAAACGAAAGCCGCAATTGGAAGCCTTGTGAGTTTTATGTTGTGCAAAAAAAGAACCCCCTACCCCCTGATGTCGAAGAGAGAGAGAGAGAGAGAGAGAACCATTTTGCCTTCGTGTGTGTAAAAAAAGACTTTGCAATTTGAAGCATTTTTTTTTTTTTTTTGCATTTTCAAGAGTTTCCGACAATTTAAATTAAAACGTAGGTTAATTAACGTTTTTCCTTTTGTTAACACAATGTGTTAAAACCAGAAAAAAAATTGTTTATCAATTTTGTAGTTTTTTTTATTTTTTTTTATTTTTGCAATTGTAATTTTAATTTTAGAAAAAACTTTATGGAATTTATAAACAGTTTTATCAGTTAAATAATTTTTCTGTAATATTTTGAATTTTTCCGGTTAAACTATTTGTTATTAAACTGTTTATAATACAGAGGGAAAAAAAAAATTTATTTCGTTTAAATAATCTCCCGTGTGAAAATATGGAAACATTGGAAAATAATTTTTTAATTTTACTGATTTTGGAGCATTGCTAAAATTTTAGAAATAATGGGAAAAAGAATTTTTTAATTTTACTCATTTTGGAGCATTGCTAAAATTTTAGAAACAATGGGAAAATAATTTTTTAATTTTACTGATTTTGGAGCATTGCTAAAATTTTAGAAACAATGGAAAAATAATTTTTTAATTTTACTCATTTTGGAGCATTTGCTAAAATCGTGGAAAAAAATATGGGAAAATTATTTTTTTTTTAATAATACAGATTATGGGCCATTTCTAAAATCTTGGAAACAATTAGAAAAATTAATTTTTTAATTTTAAGAACTTGAACGCGTTGCAAAAAATCTTGTGAACCATGGAAAAATTAATTTTTAAAAAATTTCCAAAAGTTTCGCATAATTTTAGCAATGGTAATTCGTAAAAATAAAAAAATTATTTTCCCATGATTTCTCAGATTTTAGCAATGATTCAAAATCAAAAAACTTTTTTTAAATTTCCCATGGCTGCCAAGATTTTAGCAATGATTGAAAATTAAAAAATTAATGGTTTCCAAGATTTTAGCAATGGTTCCATTTCCACATTACTTTATTATTAAATAAATATTTATTTGTATCAAATAATTATTATTTGAATCAAATAATTATTATTTGAATCAAATAATACGGAAAAAAAAATTTCTTGTGTTACAAATTGCAGTTGTACTCTCCACAAAACAGCTAATTTTGGGAAATACACAAATCGGTTTACAGCACAGAAAATTATAAGGTTTTAAAATAAGCTGCAACGCTTATTATTTTAATCCAATTTAGCTTATTTTAATGCCAAAATGGATTACCCAGGTGAAACGATTCTACGGAAACTACTCCACGGAAATTCCACACGGAATTCCGCAAAAATTTCCGCAAAATTTTTGAAAGAAGTTCTTTTGTAATTTTGCGAATTTTTTATAAGAATTACACACATAATCTCTATACAGAATTGCACAAAATTTTTGTTAGAATTTCACAACTGTACACTGAAAAAAATTTAGCCGAAATCCTCAACTACCTTTAGTTAACTGACTTGAAAGTAGTAAAAGTAACTACTTTTTTGGATATTTTAACTATGTGCATGTAGTCAATTTAACTATTTTTTATGGAGTTAAGAATTAGTAGTTAATTGTACTTAACAAAAGTAGTTAAATCAACTTCAAAAATTAGAACAATTACAAAATCTCCTTGACCCAACTAAATTCTTAGTTCTTTTAACTACTTTTTAATAGTCCATACAACTTTTTAAATTCAGTTAAGGACCTATTGAACTATGCAGGGTAGTTAAAAAGTAGTCAAATCTACTAGTTTTTTTATTGAGTGTATTTTTTACTGATTTTTTTTGTAATTTTAAAATAACTGCTGGTGGATACACTGAAAAAAATTAGTCGAGAAATTCAACTACCGTTAGTTAGTTGACTGAAAAATAGTAAATTTCTTTTGGGAAACGTTTTATTGACCTCTCAAATAAGTTCGACTAGATATTAATTAATCTATCATAAATTCTATATTATATTCACCAGGAACATCATTGTCAACTAGTTTTCGTTATAGTAGCAGCAGTTATTTTAAAATCACAAAAAAATCAGCAAAAAATAAAGTTGTGGAATTTTATTGAAAATTTTGTGCAATTCTGTATGGAATTCTTCCAAAAAAATTCGCAAAATTACGAAAGGAATACTTTCAAAATTTTGCGGAATTCCGTATAGAATTTTTGCAGAATTCCGTATGGAATTTCCGTGGAGTGATTTCCGTAGAATCGTTTCACCTGGGTAAAATTGTATTAAAATAATAAGCGTTGCAGCTTATTTTAATGCCTTTTAATTTTCTATGAGTATACAGTTTTTACAATTTGTCTATTTTAGAATTGAAGTTTGTGGTTGACACAATAAATTTTTTTCCATGAAAATAATATTTATCTCAGTTTCACTAATCAATAATTCGAAAAGTCTGACTAAATTAGAAATGATAAAGAAATATTGCATAAAAATTTTTGAAAATAAAATATAAAATTTTCTATATACAAGAATATGAGTGTTCTAAAAGGTATTGCGGGAGATTGATTAAAGCAGAGCTTGGAGTAGTAGTAGTAGTAGTGATGGTGGTGGATCTACAATAGTGAAAATTGAATTATGCCCTAGAGAAGGAATTACGAGCAGCGGTGAGACGTGCGGTTTTCTGCAATGGATTGCGAGACAGAGAGAGAGAGAGAGAGAGAGTAAGAGAGAGAAAGGGAGAGCAATGAAGAGAAAGCAATGACAGCATATAGTGGAGATAGAAACAGAAGGGTTGACTAAAGATATATAATAGTGATGGTGGTAGATGATCTGAGTTGGTCAGCCATCACTGTAACTGAGAGGTCAGCCTCCATTTGACATGCAGACAGCCTTTGATCATCTCTCGACTCTCACGTTCCTCTATATGTATATATAAGGGAGAGTTCACTCTCCTCTCGTGTTCTGTACCACGTTGTACAATCATAT